ATATATATATTATGAGAAATGAGTAGTACACAATAAAAACATGGCGACAAAATTCAGTGGGGTGAGAGAAAGCGTCTTAAAATTTATTTTGAGCAAAAGAGGGTGAAAATGGCGTTTTTGCTCCAAAAATTTCGTAGATATATAGTTGAGCAGACAACTAATAGCAAGCAGGAGAACTAGGACAGTGGAGAAGAAACGAAGCTAAGAGGAAACAAACAATAGTAGTTGAAAATTCCTGAAAAGTCGCTGCTTCTACTCGATGAGTTTATATTGTTTGAATAAAGGAAGTCAAAAAAAAATGTAAACTGGTATTTGAAGCTACGAACTGGGACTTAGGAATAGTAATTGCTTAATACTCACATGATTTGCTATTACTGAACTTATTGCTGCAGCCAAGTATATAAAAGTATGTACCGATATTATAAAAGAATTAGCAATGGATATAATACGTCATGTGCTTTCCTGCAAGCTTTTAAGTATTTTGCTCAATTTTCAACAAGAATTTTATTTCGAAGCTGTCGATAATTGCTGTGACAGCCTTTACGTTATATTTAAGGACGAAAATTGAATACTGTGTTGAAAAAGAAAGACAATCCGCAGATTAATTATAAAAGGAGGCTTTACAAAAGAATTGCAAAGTGTAGGTGGTTGGTAAAAGCTCGTCAGTCTCATAGAAGATATTACAAAATGCTTAATGTCTACCCTCTTCGAAGAGACAAAAAGAAGTCTTTTGTTAAAATACTATTCTTGAAGAAGAAGCAACGTAAGCTCATAGAAAGTCTTTAACGCCATGTAGATCATGCAAGTTTATTTCAAGAAAGATATGTCGTACTATCCGAAGCTGATAGTCTAATAAGAGGTGTCGCAATAACACCAAGTTTCAATTACCACAAATGAGCTGTTTTTATATATGATTTTTGAGTGCGAAAAAAGTAACAATACTCAAAACTGACAGGGGCTTGGAACAACATTGCCGTGACAACAATTAGAACAGTCCCAGTTACTCACTTAAGTCAAGTTCCGAGGGTTTTGTCTAGAGGACTGAAAATTTCACTGACATGAACAAAGTACTTGCTAGATTATATATATCAAATATTTCATAAGTGATTTTGTAGTATTTTTTTAGACACTTTTCCATTTCCAATTTGTTTATGGCTCCATCGCATATACCTATTCTCGCTCAGCTCGATGCAGCGATTATTTTTTCGTTCAATGGTTTTCTGTTTGTCCTTTCCACAAACCACTCAAGCGCAATTTGATTTATTTTAACATAAATGCGCAAATCAAGCGTCGAACTGAATTTATATGCCTGTAAAGGGTGTGCGTTTTAGAGATATAGACATTTATGCCAAATAAAACACAAAAGCCTAACTGAAGTGACCAATATTTTGGCTTTATTATATTGTCAATGGAATTTAGTGAAACATTTCTGGTATAAGATTACCTTGAATGTGTCTTATCGAAATTATCTATCAGTATAATTTTGACCACTTTTTCTTAGCAGGTTTAGTAACTTAATGTACGCAAACTAAAAGTAGTCTACCGAAATAAAATAATATCATTTAGGTGTCAAATCGCCTGGTTTATCACTCGATTTGATTGGGTCATCGAAAATTCGTTCCAATAAATTCACAGTGAGTTTCAGCATTCTGCTGGTTACTTCTTTATTAAGGTTTTTGGCATTGACGTGGAAAGTCAAAAGGTCGGGAAACTTTTATAGACTGTTAGTCTCTTTCACATACTGCGAACTTAATGTCATATATATGTGTGCACTTTGACAGCTGGTTTGACAGCTATCCCACAAAGAAATTTTAAACCTTCAAAACAAACGCCTTCGGTTTGTTTCACCATTTTGCTGTAGACTTCCTTACTTAAATTTTTGACATTGACGAAGGAATATAAATGATATAGAAAATAAGTATGATGAAGACTGCAGTGAGCTCCTTTCATATGCACTGAACATAAACGGCGAATATAAACTTGCTTTGACAGCTGGTGTAAGAACTATCTCTCTATTAAATTTTAAAACTCCGAAACAAACACCCCTTATATTTAAATTTGAACGTGATTTTGCTACATAAGACTTTGTGTAGCTTTGTATGCGTCTTTCACGTGCATTCGAATTTCGGACTTCAACTGCATAGTTGAATAAAGAAAATTTCATTTGTCGAGCAATTTTGTGCTCACTCACTTACTCACTCATTCACTAGAAAACGCTTTGAGTGAATGGAAAAAATTGCATTACAATTTTCACTATTACAACTGCAACAATTTACTTTTAGTGCTGTTCAAAGCGTTTTGCTATTTGTTGGTGTCTGCCGTTGCTGTTACCGCTGTTGCTGTTGTTGTTGCTGCATGCAACATAGTGATTTCTGAAATGTTGATTGATGCACTGCCATCAACGGCAGCGAGAAACGAGTTGCCAAACATTACTTGCTACAGCAATTCAATGACATTTTCAAAAGAATTTGGGTAAAACAAAAAAGTACATGAGTACTTTTATACTTATGTAACGCATAAAATTCGGTGAAAATATAAAATTACTTGTCGAAAATGTTTTTTGGCGTATTGCCAACTATTGCAAAAAATGACAAAAATGTAAAAAAAGGCAAACGCTTAATGTAGCTACAAGGACCAAGCTAAGAAATATCCTTTCGAGGGAGAAGTGATAAAAGAGAACTTCCGCATCTGCATCAGGCAGTTCATCAAGTCAGCTGGTAGTCATTATAGTGCAATGAGCTGCAAGTTTTTAGTATGGCTGTATGTATGGTTGTAGCCGACAAATCGCTGGATTTCTACACAGCTATATTTCTGTTACCAAAATAAAAAGGAAGCTAGGAAAAAGCTCTCTTTTCCTTTATAAAGCCGCGATCATATACCCGTATATGTGAAATATTATAACTGACTGCACTCACATTCCGACGAGCACGCCCAACTCACCCAATATCCTTTTGCATTTTACTGTTTTGATTCCACATTCGCGCTGCAGCACTCATCATCAGCCATCAACTCGTTTTTATCTCTTCGCTCTGTTTGCATTTTAATCAAAAATCACTTTGAACTGTGAGCACCTGTGTGCAATGTGGCAAATTTATGCGCGTTTCTCTTGTGGGATTGAAATCGATACACAAAATAGCTAGCGCTGAAATAATGATACATACATACTTTTGAAGGGGTTCGAAAAACAAATATTATGATTTTGCTGCGGAATACTTGAACATCAATTCAATGGGGCGTAACCACCACGGTGGTTTAATATAACACTGCTTTACGGATGTTAGTAAATAAAAGTGTGAGATTGAAATCTGAAATTTAAATTTTGTAATTTTTCGATAGTTTTAAGTCGAGAACTTGTTTTAATCGATTGCTACACAGTTATCCCCAAAACTAAGTGATACTATGGTAGCTAATAAAGGTTTGATATTGCTATCCATTAAATATGGCCATACAAGTGACTTTTTCAAATTTTTTTTTACCATTTTGTAATAAAAATATATGTTGCAGCTTGAAATCAAGATAAAATAAATAATAATAAGATAAAACAAACTTATGCACATAAGTCTTATTTTGAAAACCAAAAAATAGTGTGTTGAGCGTGGAGTAATTTTTTCTAGTATACAATTAGGCTGCTTACTTTTCAACTTTTCATATTTTACGCTTAAAATTATGTAAAAAAATATATTTAGAAAGGGGTACCAATTATTTTCTCATATGTACATAGCTAAATAACTTCCGAAACACATCTCCATATTTTTTAAAGTGTGCCGGTACTCTCATTCTTGCTGTATATGGTAAGTGTTAGACGAGTAGTTGATCGATTGTGAGAAATAATTTGTCTACTCTTTAGAGTTACAAATTCTCTTAGTAAAATATTTAAATTTCGATGTTTTTTATATCTTTATTTTAGGTTAGTGCAAGATTTTGTGATGGTCTTTGCTTTCATGGTATTTCCAACGAATTTTAGAAGAAACGATGTTACTTAGTTTTCGTCCTTGCTTGGAGGTATTTATGTACATATACATATTTGTATTTAAAAATTAATTATAAAAAGATTGTTAAAATGTTATTTCAAAATCAATTTTCGAGAATATCTTCGACTAAAAGTTTGGTTACAACTAACGCATATAATATATAATGTATCTCTAAACCGATTACATTGCTTTGCTAGCAAATTATTAAGAACAAACCCCAAAGTTCTTTAATAACTAGTTGCGCCGCAGAATTTTCACTCATGCAAATATCTTTGGCAATATATAAAAGTAACTGAAGTCAACTTATGCGGGGGTAGAAATCTTCATTTCGAAAAAATTCGGGTTTGATATTAATAGTAATTTTATCTCAATTATAATAACTCAAATTCTCTTATTAGCTTCAGTTGATTTAAGCCATTTCAAATGCTTATTAAGCTAGATACTTATTGTATTTGCGTAGAGTGTATACCCAAATGTTTTACTCCTGTTTCAGTTAGCTAAATATTATTTTGTTATAAATGATAACGATAAAATTATCGAACATCAGGTGCTGTCCATTATCTTATCAATAGTCAAATAGCATAAAGCCGTTGAAATTTCCAGTTAAGTTTATTGTTATGTGACTACTCTCATTAACGAAATTCAAAAATAATTACTACAATTTGGCCTTGTATCTTAATTAGCGCAGTTTTTGGTAATTTTTTTAAAGAAAAAAAAAATCTGTTTACAAAAATATATATTGTAATAATTTGTAAGAAAAAAAACATTTTAACAAAAAGGAAAAAATTAAATTTATAGAAACTGTCTAAAAAAGTTTACCGATAATGTTAATTAGAGTTTGGATATACGTTAGCTCTCTCAAGTTAATAAATTAAAAATAATAAATGTATTATTTTCTGCCTGCAATAAATTTCTGAAGGCAATTCTTTCAATGTTTTCACTCAAAAAATTTATTTTTTAACTCTCAATTTTTTGGAAATATGTTATTGATGCCATAGAAAATAAAAACGTTAAATATTCAATACGTACCTCTTGGTTCACTCAGAAACTGGTTCGTTAAAACTAAATCTCTGTTTTTAATTTTTGGTTAATTAAATTTTTTTAAATAAGTTGTGTTTTTATTTTTTTATAACTCACAAAATTTCTTTTATATATTGAAAAAGTTATTTTAATATTTTTGTCAATGTTTTGAAATTTTGAACGCGGCTCTTGTAAATAAATATCGCAAAATACCCAATATTTTATTAACATTGACTACTTGAATATTTTAAATACTTCTTGACAATTTTGCGACGAACATTTTAATACGTTTTCCCATTTTCTCCATCTTCTCAACTTCACTTACACTTTCAAAAATTCACTTTCGATAATAACTTCACACACAAATCCTCAAAAGCAACACTCTATTAGAATGAACGCTGGCGCACCACTTGTTGTGCGCTATCGGTTACCTTTGAGAGTTTGTTTTGCTTTCACACTTGAGTGTTTACAATTTTCTTAAAACGAAAGTAATTTAGACACCTTCACACGCACCGACGTCCTTTTGCCGACTACGCATCTGGCAGCCGGCAAATTGGCCAAATTGCTGTCACGCAACACCCAACTGTCAACCGGCAACGAGCCAGACAATCGGCCGAGCTAAAGCAACAGCAACACGAATTGCTTTAACAGCAGATGGTGTCACAACAGTTTGCTGCACATAGTTGCATTGCACGAGCAGCGCCTGTTAATGGCTTTCCAATGTTAACAATCGATGGGAGTTGGTGGTGTCAGTAGCACTTCCAAGTTTCCAGTGAGTAGACTTTGCTTTGCCGTCGCTGCTATTAACAGACATTGCCTATATAATATCGAGATTAACAGCGAGTTCATTGCACTGGAATGGCGCTGTTTGGTTTGAGGAGCTTTTAGGAGTTGAATGAATTAAAGGAGCTTTGTGTTGAGCTTTACGACTGCAAAAGGTAGTTGTTAGGCTATGGTGACTGTGAGGAATGCCCTACAAACAATTTCAACCCGCGAATCAATACTCGTTGGTGCCAGTTTCTAAGTAGGGGTCAGACTACAGCAAGTTCATATAGGTTTTAGATTATTAAATATGCCCTGACGACTTACATATACATTAACGTTATCATTTAAATCAGCTTCGAAGTAAGCGAAGACTACGGCCAGTAATGGGATGGCCATTTTCTATGCATTAACAAATTGTGATCTACATCGACTACTTCTACTATGCCGAATAATTGGACCGATTCGATCCCATCCGAAAGCAGACTATGTTTTGCAATAAATCGCCATTTCTGAAATGTTTCCGATTTTTAAGCTAAATATTTTTCGGACCGGCTTCTTATATATATTTTGGTATCTGAGTCAGAATTGCAGGAGATAAGCGTAAATATGTAAGAATATACATGCCAATAAATTTACATTTTGGTGCAAAAATTGTAAATTTCAACATTTGATCTTTGAGCCATTTAACCCGTCCACCGGTTCAACTAAAGTTTAGAAACCCCGTCGTTCGGCAATTAATCACCATATGCATATTGCTTATGGAAGTGTAATTTGCAAATAATTACAAACCCACACAGACACATATACATACAAATACAACGCAACACTTCTACAAATCATGATTATCAAATATATTTAATGAATGAAAAATCTATTTGCGCGTATTAAATGTTCATTAATGGCTGACATTGATGGCCTTTGGTGGGATAAAAGCGGTTCTAGTTATGACGTCGGTTTTGCCGACTACTCGATAACTCTTTGCAGGCACGTGTGAGTGTGTGCGATTGAAAACTGTTATCGCGCAACAACATTGTGTTTGCGAATATTATAATTTAATTGATGATTGTTGAGCGTTTTTGGCGTAAATAAATGCATAAATTTTGCATAATGGAATATAATTGTAATGAGTGCGAAAGCAATTCGAGCGCTACGGCAAAGCATTAATTTGTTTACCATAAAAGTGAATAATAGTACGCATACCATATACAAAGGAATGTAGCGTTAATTAATTTCACTGTTCCGTTTCGGTTGCCAGTAGCTTAGATGTGGTGGTTTGGCACTGGTATGGCAGTTGAAATCACAGAGAAGATTAACTTTGCATTAGATATCAATACACTCATGATAGGGTAGTAGTTATGCAGCGGTAACAAATGCTAAGCGCTATCAATTGCAATTGAAACAAGGAAAACGATAGATTTGGCTGCACCGAAATTATAATACCCTTCACAGGTATATTTTTATAGCAATAATGGGTAAAAAGATCCTTATCTTGATTTTGATCGGTTAGTTTGCATGACAGCTATATGCTATACTCGTAGTGATCCCATGCAAACAATTTCTTCGGAGATAACGCCATTGCTTTAGACAATAATCCTTGCCAAATTTCTTGAAGATATTTCGTCAAATGTAAAGGTTTTCCATACAACCTCTTGATTTCCATCGTAAAGTTTGTATGTCGGCTATATGCTATAGTGACAGACAGACGGACGCATCTAAATCGACTCAGCTCGTTATGTTGACCTTATGTGTATATATATATTTGATAGGGTCTCCAACGCCTGCTTATGGATGTTACAAACCTCGTGGCAAACTTACTATACTCTGTTCAGGCTATAAAAATGGGAGGAGCTACGTGAAGATGTTGACAAAAATCCCTGGGCACTTGAATATAAAATAGCAATGAAGAAACTCGGAGTTCGAGCAAAGCCACCTGACTTAAACGCTGCAAAAATTGATCACTTTGTAAGCGCACTCTTCCCTACACACGAAAAAAGTGCTAGTGAACGATAATAGGCTATAAGACTTCCGGCAATCCTCCTGTTAACCCTCGAAGAGCTCCAATTAGCCGCTGGCAACCTCTAGATATTGTAATATTATCTCCTAAAGAACGTTTCGAATTAACAAACTAACGTACAAGTTCCAGGATAAGAAGTTCGGTAAAGGAAATTGTGAATTTATGCTAAGTGATTAATGAAACGAGCTTTCATAATATCTAGATGTGTTGGCTTAAGTCAGTTGTGAAGAAATCTCTCTTGTGTTGAACCCAGTGAATTTTTTAGCCATTAAAAAATCATTTGGTTCCATCGCTTAGAATTGATCGTGACTTCATGGGAAGCTGATGGTGTGCTTTTTAAAGCTCGAAAATGTACTCAGAAAATTTTTTAAATGGAAATACATTTTTGTTTCGACTTTCTACCTATTCCACTAAATTAAAAAATATATTCTAAAAATTCTCTAAATATTTTGTCCAAAAAATCCAATAATAAACGAAAACTAATTAAATTTGTTTGTGAAACATTTTGGCGCCGACATCTTGTTTTTCATTCGTCAGCGTGGGCTCCGCTTGACATGCGTGTTGCAAAGTACATGTATTTAGCAATTGGAAAATGCATGCCACCAAAGCATACATACACATATGCCTATACATTTGGAAATAATAATATTTGTTAGAGTGCATAATTTTAAGTCACTCTAGTCTAAAATGTTTTATCCCACACACTAATGCGATTTGCGGTTTGTGTCGGGCGTTCGTTGTGCATAACTGCATTGCGTCGTGTAGGTGAGTGGGTGCGTTTCGTAAGGCGTCGCTGTTAATTAGATATTCAAATATGATGGATTTGTGCCGCTGTTGCGTGTCTGTGGTGCATTGTGATGCGTGGAGATCTGTATTTTCTACATTAATTAGTGTCTCTTTATGTTTTTTTGGGTAACTAGACTGGCTTTTTGTACAAATAAGTGAATTATTTGGTGTTTTTGTTTTATTATTAAAAAATAAATTAAAATACAAGCTTACGTATAATTATACATATTTATTTAAAAATAATTTAAGTAGGTATTCAAGTCTATAAAAATCAGCAAATATAAGGTCTAGTTTACAGGAATCCATTACTTTTATAATAGATAATTTCTTCGCGTTAGAATTAAGCTATTTGGCGTTAACGATTAAAGATTTAATGCAAAAAACAAGAATAAAAGTTAACTTCGGGTCTGCTGAAGCAAAAATCCCTTCACATTTGTAGCTTTTTGCCATAAAAGTTTAAAAAAACTCCCTTTCTTGATTTTGATCGGTCAGCTTATATAGCAACTACATGCTATAGTGGTACGATCTGTTTGGATATTATAGCGCTGCCTGAGATAGTAACATGTGCTAAATTTCGTGACGAGACCTTCTCATATAAAAAGTTTTCCATACAACAACTCAAGTCGGATCGGTCAGTCTGTATGGCAGCTATATGCTATAGTGGTCAGATCAGAACAGTGAGTTCGGATACTATAGCTATGCCTGAGATAACAATCTGAGTTAAATGTCGTGAAGATACTTTATCAAATAACAAAGTTTTCCAAACGAGGACGTGAGTTGGATCGTTTTGTTTGTATGGCGTTTTTGCGGAAGGACTTCTTATACAGTGCATCTGTTGTATTTTTTATTTAAAGGACTAATTACTATTCTAGGCTGATTGAAACCGATAAATATTTTAAAAAAATGTCTAAGCGCTGATATAAGTGGAATAAATTGCGACTTAATAGACCCTTAATTTAGACAATTATAAAATTTAGGCTATTCATGTAAACAATTGTTAATTTTCCAAAATTAAGATGCTGTCTGAAAAATATATTACAGCAGATATCATTTAACTAATAAAGTATTTTAAATAAACATCCAAGTGCTGATCTAAGTCAACTAATTTGACATAAGCAACCTAACAGACTTTCCCGTAAGACACCAAATTTAGTCAATTAGCAAATTTTGTCTACCCATGTGTAAACAATTAGCTAATTGACCACATTTTCTTTATATTTGTTTAAATTTTTTTCTTTATTAATGTAGTCAATTAGTTAGATATCAAAGCTATGCTGGTGACTATAAAATATATATGTAAAAGCACATTTCATTAAAATACCTTTATTTGTATTGGTAGTCAGTTAAGTGGCCTTGGTGCTAACTGCATAACCTTCACACTGCATTTGCACGCATTTCAATTAACTGATAGCTGGCTAATTAATAAAATCATATAAGCAATTTGCATATTTGCACACAACTGATTAAATTATAGTTAATAAATATACCATAGCTACGACTTACCTATATAAAACTAAACATAATAAAAAAAGGGATTACGTCATAGAGCAAATGAATTTATTAGCGATAAGTCACTTTGGTTGCCAAATGATAACGCTATTAATGGATTGGCTGACAATTACAGCA